AGCGAGATGCTAGAAATGATCAGCAAAGACACTGGCCAACATGAGGACGTGTGAGCAGGCACTGACTTTATGAAGCAGTAGTGACAGTGACGACGACTAACACCGAACACAGGAGAGTGGGGGTGACAGGGATAAAGAATCTAAGCAACTTTGGTTGTTCAAGACAAGGGTTAGAGACAGCAATTGATTTTGGACTTTGATAAACAATTATGCATATTAAAATGGTAATGTAATAATGGTATACTTTTTAAACTGTCACTATTATCATCATGCTTTGATTTTTGATAGTTTCAAAGCCCTACTCGTGTGTGGCAATGAGGATGTGACCTTTCCCCGTTAATGAGGAGTCAATTAGAATGAGGACCCCAATTACCCTGACTACAGAAGTCATAGGGAAGGCCATTTGCTCATTCCTAGATCCTGGGACACCCCCATTCCCTCCCCCATTCTCCTAGGGAGGCCATCCAGAGACCTTCACACCTCTGCAGCACCCTCAACCTGCATACTCAGTCCCCTCCCACCCTCCTGCCCCCTGTACCCCTCACCTCACCTCATCATGTCCTCTGAAGAAGACTTTGAAAGTCCGACTCAGGTTCCGTTCCAGTTCGGCCTCGGCCACCCCCTAAAACAATCAAGAAAGCAAAATTACAGACTCCACAGAAATCTAGGACACTGTACTCCTCCCAATCTGACTGGAAGCAAGAAGCCCCCAACCTCTGCCTATCCAACCCAAGTTTCATTAGACGTGCACTCATTTAAATGTTCACACTAAAATACATTTTTTTCTAAAGGTTAAAATAAAATACAAGATGCAAACAGTGGTCTCCCCCTGGGAGGCAGGTTGATGGGTATTGCTTTTCTTTTCTCTTTTCTGTTCTTTTCTGTTTTTAAAATTCCTACAATTACTTGTAATAATCCCTTTAAGGGAATAGGGGAGGGCTGGTACAGGAATACGTTAGGGGCTGAAGGGCGGTGAGAAGCCAAGTTGAAAAGCCAAAAGCTTTTCATTCGTGCATCTCCTTTTGTTGCAGTAACTTCACAATCAACTCTTTTGATTTGGGCCTACATTATCAGACTGCCCAAGGATTGTCTCCCTAAGGACAGGACAGCAAGATTGTCTTGCTAAGGCAATATCCTTAAGGCAATATCTACATGTCCTTTATGCTGACAAATTCTGAGGTCTTTCTGCCTCATGGGAGCATTTAATTGCCTCATCTACACATGGTTCTTTGGCCATTTCCAGGAAAACTGGGCTAAGAGATGCTAACGTATAAAACACAGGTCCCAAGGGTGGGGGAGAGGACTGAATGTGGACTAAAGCAAAGTGCCTGAGTTACTGATACTTTTTTTTTTTTTAAGATTTTATTGGGGAATTGGGGGAGGGGAACAGCATTGGGGAATTGGGGAAGGGGAACAGACAGGTTGCTGTTGTTTTGTTCTTCAGTCTAGTTGTGCAGGACGTCACTTCACTGGCCCAAGTTGGTATTATCATTGTGCTCCTCCCGGGTGAGGCAGATTGGTTGCCGGCCACTGGATGGCCGCTCATGGAGGCTCTCGGCTGCTCATGCTGGCTGCTGGATGCTGGCCACTCACACTGACTGCCAGCCATTCACACTGGCTGCCAGTCACTCACGGTAGCTCACGGCAGCCCACTGTAGCCCCACTGCAGNCAGCTCACTGGCCCACATGGGAATCAAACTGGCGACCCTGTTGCTCAGAGCTCACACTCTTGAGCAAGCTCTTAAGCAACTGAGCCACTCAGCCGGCCTGACCTCTTGGGACTTTTAATTTTCCCTCCTGTACAAGCAGGGGGAGGGACCAGATTATCTCTATGCTCCCTTCCAAAGCAAATCTGTTCCCAAATCTAAGACTCTTAAATTGTCTCCCACTTAAAAATTAATAGTAAAAAAAGAAGCTTAAGGAAGAGTTGTAGGTTGTGGTGCAGGAAACCCTGGGGGCTAAAGGGCTGCTGCCACAGGTGTTCACAGCCAAGCCTGCAGTGCCCCGGACTTCTGGGGCTGTGCTGACAAAGGCAGTGCACTTTGGGTTTGAGTGAAGGATGGAGGTGCAAAGAGAAGACGCATAAGGGAGAGGATGAAAATGGAAATGTGGTGAACTGCAGTGCCCTTGAAGAAACCATGAACTTCAAAGATCTGCAATATTTAAATGTTTGAAGGGATATGCAGAAAAGGGGCTGTTGGAGCAATTCTTTGCGGTTCCAGGCCAGGGGTCCTGCATGTCAGCGTAAAATAGATCTGAGAAAAAGAAATGAAGTACTGACACGTGATACAACATGGGTGAACCTTGAGAACATTATGCTGAGTGAAAGAAGCCAGGCACAGAGGACCACATATTATATTCCATTTATGTGACATATCCAGAGCAGGCAAATCCATGGAGACAGAAAGCAGACTGGTGATTCCCTAGGACTAGGGGGCTTACGGGGAATGACTGCTAAAGGAAAAGGAGTTTTTGGGGTGATAAAAACGTTCTAAAATGGAATGTGGCGATGGCTGCAGAGCTCCGTGGATAGACTGAAAACTATTAAACGGTACACTTCCAGGGGGTGAATTCTATGGTGTGTGATTAGAGCTCAATAAAGCTGCTATAAAAAAGGAAAAGAATAAACCTGAGAGGTCTATAACGCCCCTGAAAATGTATGCACTTTTTGAGTTTCTGTGGGGTTGTTTTTTTTGTATTTTTCTGAAGAAAGAACTCAGGACTGTCATCTGATTCTCACAGGAGTCATGANGTCTGGATTTGGGCATCAGGGAAGACCTGATGGAAAAGACAGCATTTGAACTTGACTTTTAAGGGTAGAGGAGACAGAAAGAGGGAAACCAGTGCCTGTAAGGGAAACATCGTGTGGTAGCATGAGCAAGCTCTAGAAGGGGACAAAGCTTGTGGTTGAGTTTTATGGAGCCAGGAATCTATGTGGCCACAGGCTAACCATTTAACGAAGCATCTTGGCAAATAAAACCAGAAAGGCAAGTGGGAGCCTGGACATGAAGAGCCCTGAGGCTGGACTTGATGCTGCAGAAAACCAAGAAAACCATGAGGGCTTCTGAGAAGAGGCGCAAGTAGACTGAAGTTGTGGTCAGGAAATGATATGTCATATCAAGCAGCGATATTTCCCAGGGATGCAGAGAAGGAAACCAGAAGCAGAGAGATGGTCAGCAGACGACTGCATCCGTCAGCCTAAAGGAAACGGGATAGCAGCAATGGAGATAAAAGAGAGGGGTGGGCTTGAGAGTCCACATGAAGGCAGAGTTGACAGGAGTTAACTAGGACTATAGTTAGTCTGGCGGGTCGGTAAGGGATTCCGTATCCCACTCTTATCCTGAGGAAACTTTTTCCCAGGAGAGAAATAGACAGGAGAGAATATTTGGAAGAGATATAAAATAGGTGAAGTGGAATAATTTGGGCAAATGAAATCATCAGGGAAAGGAGTGGTGAGATTTAGCCAGTGCCAACCAACAGAAATATAATGCAAGCCACATATATAATTTTAAAGTTCCTGGTAGCCACATTAAAACAAGTAAAAAGAGATACAGGTGTGATTAATGTAAAATACTATTTAATATTTAATGTAAATTATAGTTTAAAATTTAATGTTAGTTTAGATTCTTTTTATTTTTTTTAGTGCTAAGCCTTTGAAATCTGAAAGGTATTTTCCACTTATAGTAATCTCAATTCGAGCTGACCATATTTCAAAAGTTCAATAGCCATTATAGTTTCAGGTATAAAATAAGTTATATTGATGCCTATAGATTTCTTTTTCTTTTTTCTTTTTTTTTTAGCTGAGCCATCCTGCCACCTGTTTGCAGCTCAGCGGCAGCTCAGCTCGGGCCGGGAATCGAACCGGCGACCCTGTTGCTCAGAGCTCGCACTCTTGAACGAGCTCTTAATCAACTAAGCCACTCGGCCGGCCCCCACAAACTCTTGATGCCCACAGCTTACTTACCTCACTCTCTCAGGGTAAAAGACAGCCATGTTCCACACCAGCATGCCGCCCCAGTCGTGGCCAATGAACACTGCTTGAGAGATGCCCTAGTGAGGGATAAAAAAGGGAGCTGAATGTGGGCAGGTTTCTGGGGCGGGGTGCTGAGAGCCCAAGGCCTGTGCTCGCTTTAGGCCCAACCCTCAGCAGTAATCCTTTTGGGCTCCTTCACTGATCATGCAGTCGCTACTCCAAATGTCCACCCTCTTGAAGCCCCCATTCCCACACATACCTGCCCCACGTACCTTCTACACAAATGACTGGCCTTTGACATTTTCCTAGAAGACTGAGGCCGTTGCCCATGGATTCCTTCTTCCTCTCTACCTTCCCTTGAATCAAAATTTGTTTCAGCTCTTTTTCTCCCTTTTGTCTGAAAGTCAGTATGACTGACCTCCCCGTGACCCATGTTCTTCTTCCACTGAGTGAGTATGATTGTACTCCCCACTCTTTTGGGACCTTTCCTACCTTAACTAAGCACTAAAACCTCAAAGACATCTTTAATCTCTCCCTCTCTATCTGCGCCGTATGTTCACCTGCGGCTGCTAACAATGACAACAGCTCCTGTTTATCGAGCGCCTACTATGTCTCAGGCACTGTGCTGAGTGTTTACATCCATTACCTGGAATTGTTCCAATAGCTTTCGGGTACGCATTTTACCAATGGGAAGGCAGGCTCACAGCAGTTCGGGGACTTGCCCGAGGCCGCATGGAGGTAAATGGTGGAAACACNGATGTATCAGTAAAAATATTGCTCAGGGTAATGTCTGCAAATTTGGACCCTATATCTTCTTCTATGAGTTTTATGGTCTCAGGTCTTATATTTAAGTCTTTAATCCATTTTGAGTTTGTTCTTGTACATGGTGTAAGGAGGTGGTCCAGTTTCACTTTTTTGCATGTGTCAGTTCAATTTTCCCAGCACCATTTATTAAATAAACTATCCTTACCCCAATGTAACTAATGAGCAGAGTTTTAGTTCTACAAGATGAAAAGAGTTCTAGAGATGGATGGTGGTGAGGGTTGCACAACAAGGTAAATGTACTTAGTAACACTGAACTGCATATTAAAATAGTAAAAATGGTAAATTTGATGTTATGTGTATTTTGCAATTTAAAAAATAATAATGAAAAACTACTTTCATGAGCTAAATCCCATTGATACTTTAAATACAAGTTTGATCAAATTTAAAAAAAGGATGAGAAAGAGACAAAGGAAAGAAGATGTGAAAGAGCAAGAAGCAGGCATAAAACCCCATCCCCTCCCTCTCCCTCTGTGCTGTCCACATGGGACACCCAACAGTTGGGGCCAGAGTGTTGAGGGCCTGTTGTAACCTATATACAGGATGTGAAGCCTGGGTTACTGAAGAAGGTAGAAGGGTGAGAAGTAACTAAGAATGGGGCATTTGAGATGACAGAAGGGCCCTGTGGGGAGGGGTCCTCTGGGAGGGGGGCTCTGGGCACATAGACATCAGTGGGAGGGGGTTGGACTTCTGGACTACTGGGCAGAGCCAGAGATTGAGAAAGAGTCAGATAAGAGCTGAGAAGAACCCAAACACCAGCTTCCTAGTTCTGGGTGGGACTCTGTTACCTCCTCAATTCCCAAAGGCCAAGGCAGCTGCCACTCAAGAACCTAGAACTACGACTTTGTTACTCTCCCACCCCCACCAGATACTCCTCCAGTGTGAGCTGTACATGGGTGAAGCAAACACCTGGGAAAGGGGACAGGTAGTACATCACACCTTAGACTGAATGGGCTTCCAACTTCTAGTACAGCTGAAAGAATTTTTATGGGGCAATCTATGACGAACAGGGTGACGAATCTATGATTCTCCATTACTTCTGACATCAATTATACATGTGGGGCTTCCTTTACAGGCCTTGCACAAGGGTTCCTACCTTTTCCCATCCCACTCGCTCACGTCTCTTTCCAAATAGCTCAGTTTCTCCCAGTCCCCACTCTTTACCCTCACTGTCCCTATCCTGTCCCCATCCTCCTGTTTCCTTCACAAGGGACACTGTCGCTGCTTTCCTTTGCCCACTTTGTTATGGGCTGAATTGTGTCTTCCCCAAATTCCCAGGAAGTCCTAACCCCTCAGAATGTAACAGTATTTGGAGATAGGGTCTTTAAGGAGGTAGTTAAAATGAGATCTTTATGGTGGACCCTAATCCACTGTGACTAATGTCCTTATAAGAAGAGAAACTTTAGACACAGAGATACACACACAGAGAGGAAATGCCATGTGAGGGTACAGCAAGAAGGGAGCCTTCTACAAACCAAGGAGAGAGGCTTTGGGAGAAATCAGCCATGGAGATACCTTGATCTCGAACTTCTGGCCTCCAGAACTGTGAGATAAGACATTTTGTTGTTTAAGCCACACAGTCCATGGTACTTAGTTATGGCGGCCCTAACTGCCTAACATGTCATCTAAATCATATCCGTCCTTCAAGATCAAGATTACTTCAAACTAACTCAAGACATTTTGATTTAATTCAGATCAAAGGAAGCTCGCTGCTTCCCACACTCCAGACTGTGGAGCAGTAAGGCTCTGACCTCATAGGAGGATGTGATACATGGAACACCTTTTCATGAGGTTGCCAAAGGCTTTTGGTGTCTTACTGAGTGAATCAGGTTATTGGCTGAATCAAAGTGCCTCTTCCAAAGCACCGTCTTATCAACTAAAATCGTTCTTAGAGAAGAGTACTTGTCGAATTGAAACCGGGGTGTTGTGACCCTTGCTGGAAGGGGCACCCCCTTTGAACAGAAGGGCAAGGGTTGCGGGAGAGATGTGGGGAGACACTCTTGTGCTCTTAATTCATCTGATTCATTCTTCTCTTTTTGGTGTGTTAAAAAAAATTTCTTGTATCCTCTCACGAATTTATCTGGATGTAGCTGGACACTGGGGTGCAGAGCCCACAAATGAATGAGGAGGTTTTCCCACAGATGAGGGCAACAGGGGGGGAGGGGCGGTGGGCAGGCCAGACGCTGCTGCTGCTCTCAGTGAATCCCAGTGAAACATGGCGGGGACAACCCATCACACACATCATCCGAGCCCCAGGGGGCATCTTGGGTTTTGTGGCTCATGGGGAGACACCTAGAAACCTTCTACATCACTCAAAGCACACTCAGGGCTGGGTGCAGGGCTTTTAGGCTCTGGTGCTCTCTGTAATCCCAAACCTTACTTCTCCGGAAGCCAAGATACCANATAGCAGGCAGATGGAGAAACACTCATTTAACATTCAGCCAGTTCTTGCCATGGTCCTCCTGTCTCCCTTCCCTCCTACGACCGTCTCTTACCCTTTTCACGGATCCTGTGCGTGGTGACAACACCCTGTAGGGGGGAAAGTTAGAAATGAGGACATGGGTGAAGTAAAGAAATTATGCTGGAACAGGTCATCTGAAAACTCTCTCACAGCAAAAGACCTACACATGCCATCAGACTATACAAACATGCTAAACCCACAAGAGAGGTAGGTAAGTACTCAGGGGTCAAAGCAGAAGCAGCTAACAACCAAAGCTCTGGGCCAAGGCTTCCCCCTGGGGCATTGCAGGTCTGGGTAATGTAAGAACTTGGGTCTATCAATCAATGGGAACAAGAGATGAGATCTCAGGTCTGTGGCAAATGGGAAGTTAAAAATGAGATCCTTCCCACCACCCCTCCACAGTAAATCCAGTAAATTTGCGGTCCTCAGTTAAAGGGTGGACTAGAAAAAAATCCACCCATCATGACAGAGAGATGTCAAAGGAGTTGGTGTATTCAGTTTGGTACTAAGAGGAAACCAAAAAAAGCTCACCTAGAAATTCATAGCTACAAGCCTGCCTTCACAGTGTTTGGGTTTGAATTCATACTATTTGTGTGATCTGACAACCTCCAAGATACAAAGTAAACAACAAAGTGATCCAGGACTGGTAACACCACCAGGATGTTTGTCAAAGCAGCAAATGTTAAACCACAAGAAGGTCATTTCCTTAATCCCAGGTAAAGCAGGTTGGTGCAGATTAAACGCTGCTGAAGATGAGCTCACAAACCAAAATTACAAAACTCTCTCCACCCTCCCCCCACCCCTCACCCCACCAAGGTTCCATTGTAAGACTAGAGACAGCAAACACAGCAAACAGTAAAATAAGACTCTCCAAGAATATCAAATAGAACTTGCAGAGAGAGAGAGGGGGGGAGAAAGAGGGAGAGAGAAAGAATGAAAAATGAGTATGCTTAAAATGATTATAGACATAAAAGAAGGAACTGAGAAATAAGAATGGAACAAGAGATTAAAATGATTTGAAAAAGAACAAAATACAACTTTCATAAACAAAAAAAACCTGTTCATTGAAATTAAAAAAAAATTCAAGGATGGTTTAACTGCAGATGAGACACCACCAAAAGACCAACAAGATGGTAGGTAGACCAGAGGCCAATTTCTCATAAGCAATGACAGAATCTTCTAAAAGAAAATAATTGTCAACCTAGAATTCCATACTCAAACTAGTCTTCAAGAATGAAAGCAAAATAAAGATATTTTCAGGCACCCCAAATTATGAGTTTACTAACAAACTCGCAAGATCAAGACGGTCCTTCAGGAAGAA